AGAAGAAGAAAGAAAGAAAAAAAAGAACAAACAAACAAACAAAAGCAATACTAAAAACCCAACGATATGTCGGTCATCAGCAGACATACAGATGCAAACGTTGAACTTTGACACGCAAAGAAGCAACAGCAGCGTCGAATTCTGATATAGAGAAGTTAGAGAACATGAAACGCAGTCACGTGACCACCACGTCAAACCTTCGCGTATGTACTCTTCACCAACCGGTGAGAGTCAAAGAGAATGATTATCTATAAGGTTGCTCTATTTAATTAAATAGTATTATCGTTGTATCCAAACATGGTCGGTCTACCCTACTACTAGCGCCGCGGTTCCAAATCCAGGTCCGTAAGCCGCCTGGTTTCGTTCCAGGTCGGCCCGTTTATCTCATAGTCCTCGAAACCCGGTTCACACCCTCGGTTCGCCTATATCTCGATCACTCGTTGTCACCCCATTCGGTAATCCACTAGTCTCTGCCCCCCCGTACTAAATTACTACGGTGTCAGGTCCATTTATCCTACTTCCCCACTTTTGCCAAACAATCAACTGGTTCACACATCTCTATTTCTACCTACCATGGCTAGTTCATTCATACTATCCATCATTCTTTATCACACTCCTATTCCTACTTCATACATCCACACAGTCGTACCACCCGATCCCTTCCTACCATCAACATCTCATTCGTCCAGCACCAGTTGTCCCATCAGCTCCCAGATTTCCAAACGTCCGATAACAAATCGCCGCAGTGCGTTGTTGAAGATTCGCTCGGGATGAAGTCTCCTCCTGAGCTCTGTTCGTAGGCAAATCAGAGACGCCATGACACCAATCCCAGGGGAGGAATTTTGATATATACGGTGTATCGCCCCGGTCACAATCGCGCTTTTCGCCTTCTTGCTGTTCCAGGATTCGAAATCCTGCAGCGTCTGAAAAACTAACTTATTCTCATTCCATACTTCATCCTCGTTCTTGGAGATCTTCAAGGTCCCAATGAAGGGGTACGATTCCCTCACCGCCAACCTACTCCCATTCGGGCCGCCCTCCGTCAGTTCTTTTTAGTGTCAAGTTATCATCATAACATGACTTGAGCTTACAAAGTATTCTCTTTGTTGTCCCCTGGTCCTTGGTGAGGTCCTTTGTTGTCCCCGAATCACAAACAACGAAACATCATCCACCAGTCTGATCCCTCCCACCAGTCTGCGATCATTCCCCAAAGATTCTAAAAAGTCCCACTCAGCCTTAATACACAATAGATTCGTCAGCGGAGGGTTGGTGCTTTTCCCCATGGGGATTCCAAGTTTCCAACCTCTTGTTTTAGCAATGTTCCTGCAGCCTGCGTGTAACAGTGCTGCAAGTCAAACTCCACGAAACACATCAACTGCGCAAAGGTAAATGTCTTACCGTTGCTCCCCTTCTCGCTCTTCCCAACCCACACTCCCTTACCCCTCGTCTTTATCGACACTGACTTTCGTCCTCTATTTCCGTGCCACTCCAACAACCACCGTACTGAAGACAAAATCGCTCCATGCGGGAGCGTGCTGAACATGTCCTTTATGTCAAAGGACCTGGTCTCAATACCGGCTCTCGATTTTACCATATTCAATCTTCTGTTAACTACCCGGACTCTCTCCTTCAACTGCGATACCAACTTCAGGTTGAAGTGGTTGTTAGCTGGCAGGGCGTCAATGAGCCCATTCAGCGCACTTGCCACCAATTTGCACGTTGAGACGAACGGCTCATCATAGGTGGGGCATATGGGACGAAATCGTTGCACATCTTTATGCTTCGGTAACACATATGCCCTTCCCAGCTTGCCATCCTTGTTCCACTTCCCCATCGTCGTCAGTCCTTGCTGTTCGTAGTGCCTGCGTACTTCTGTCAAAAACTCTTCCTCCTTCATCTCCACCACTACGTACCCTTCGTTCTTCACAAACGTCTCATACATCGCTGTCGTGTACATCACCGGGCACATGATCACGGTATCCCCTAGGTTATGATCCAGAGGTGCCCTCACCAAATTCTTCAGCTCGTTCGTCACGCGTACTATGACTTCTTCCCAACTTCCCCCGGTCTCAGCGTGACCTTCCCAATCCCAAATCTCCTCCAAGTCAGAGTCCTCGATGGTCAATTGGACTCCTAGCTTCGAGAAAGGTTCGAACTCTTCGCAGGCTTTCAATAGCTCGCTTCGTAGCATTGTTCGCCGACCACCCGCCCTCTTCAGCGGCACGTTCTTGGCGTTCAGCATGATGGGAGGAACCTCATCCAACTCACTAATCCGGCAACATACATGACCTTCCCTCCTTAGAAGGTGCAGGTCCATGCAACAACACATGGACGCATCGACCGCCACACCTCGACGATGATTGTGCAACAAGTCCCCCACGTTTGGATTTTTTGTCCAAACAACACGGAGACGTCAACATATAAACTGTCGGATCGGTAGAGACAGATTAGTCCCAGCCAATTTTTTCCGAAGCATCTTGGTAACCGCTCCCTTCCTTACTCTATCAGACTATCATCGAACTGGATACGGATTACTTACCTCTTGCGAATACCGACATCAAACTTCACTCTAATAATTTGAGACAACAACAACCAGATGTTCGCTCTACTTCGTTTCTCTGAGAAGGTCTTTGCAACCCCGTACCATTGCACGAGCTCGTCCAAAGTACATCTATACAAACGCTTCCGTCTCCACTTCGATCGAAGCACCTTGATCATCTCCTGTTTCTGGCCTAACATGTACGTCGATGTCTCTTCGATCTTAATGATGGTGAAGCACCCGCCTTGTTCAATCTCATGTTTAAGTTGTGCCAAGGTTGCGATTCCTGTCATCGATTTGATCCTGCATCCGCCGAACAAGCGTCGCAACAATCTCCACTCATCGCACCAGTAACTACCTCTGCGGCTAATGAACTTCAGCGGCTTCCCATTACATACTTTTTTGTGCTGTCGGAGTGTTTGGACGGTCCCAGCTGTCCACGTCTTCCCATCATCCGTTGACCATTCTACAGGCACTGCTGCCACTTGCGCTCTAGGGTGCTTGCCATCCTCGGTCTTGTTCTGTCCTCCCTCTGTCTTCCTTTCCCTCCTCCCTCTCCTTCTTTTCCGATTCCTCTTCCTTCGGCCGCCTTGCGTATTGAGTGCAGGTGATTACATCCGAATAAACTTCTGTTTGACAATCTCGATGCTACGTACATCTGTATTGAAATACAGAGGTATCGCAACGTAAGAACAGAACCCAAATCTGCGCAGCCAACTATACAACGCTGTATTCTTCGCCGCGCCCTTGCTGGCCATTGACCGCTGGTGTTCCCACCATCTGATCCCCAACTTTCTCTTGGTTTTGCTGACATATGTGTTTTTTGCCCAAGGAGATAACAGGGCGTACACACAGCAGTTCGGGTCAACGAGTTCTAGATGGCCCTGTTCGAATGCCTCGCTCCATACTTCTTTGAACTTCCTCCCCCACCGGATTTCTTTGTGCAGACAAAGTAGCATCACCGCACACCCATACCGTACTTCGATGGTCTTCGTTATCTGGTTCGTAAGTCTCAACTCCCTTCTACATGATTGCGCAATGGCTCAAAGTTCACGTATAGTGATTCTTCACCCAGTCTTCTATGTAGCTGGCTCGGTGTCCGTCTCTCTAGATTCCCCGCTTTCATCGTCAGTTTCCTGACTCGGGTCTGATGGTTCATTAATCTTCAGCGGTGTCAACGACACACTCTGTCGGGCGCATCGTTCCGGCACCGCACGTGGCAGTGCGGGACCCTCTCTGCCGCGCCACGCAGGAGTTGAACCAACCTCGACACGAACGTGCAAATGGAGCTTCCTTAGGCCGCTCCGGCCGAGTGCGCCAGCCATACCTCTCGCGAGCCCCTACGACAGGATAGGGCCTACGCGGGGCATAACTTACCTCCACCTTACGCGAGCTGTCACCTCCCTTCGGTGGGCGTATCCCTGTCGAGCTACCAGTCCACAGTACGAAAGTTACTCAGCTGCGATCGAAGAGGTGGACCAGCCGAGGGCGTTTCTCGTTAGCTGTACCATAGGGGGCACGCGCGGTAATACGCCTATCGGACCCGCACGCGAACCAACATCTTGGGGGACTGAAGTCCCAAGCGCGGCTTGTCGTCGGTCGACTAGGACGCATCCCACACACCACGCGCACACCACTTTACGAACATAAAGATAAAACACACACACACATAGAATCTCACAACACACGCCCGCACACACACGCACATACACACGTACCACACGACACAACACAAACAACGCGACAACGCTCCTAGCCCCTTCAGTGGCCATCCCATAACTTTCCACCGCGGGAATCGGGTAGGCGTCGCGCGCGAGACTTAGTATAAAACTGCGCGGGCGCAGGGCCTACTCATATCGACTAGCAATGCATACGTACGCAAGCAGTCGTGAAGATGACGTACTATGTAGCACCCATACTCACGTGGCCCTCGTTAATCTCGAGGGTCGCGTTCGACACTCAAGTGTCGGCTGACACGCACCTTGAGGGTTAATCTCTCGACGTCGGACAACCGCCATGCGCGGTTGAAGACCACACACCCTCTTCTGCACTCTGTGCAGAGCGGGTGGTACACAGCTCTATACCTGTGGTGGCAGCCATTTCTTGCGGCCCTGGGGGTAAGTCCTACTCTAGGCCTGGGCGAAAGTCAAGGGGTTTGACTTTGACGACTGCCACGGACTATAACGTCCAACCATGATAACTCAAAAAACAAAAGTAGGCCGGTGGCCCCCATGCCAGAAGTCATTGCTTGGGTATCCCCATTTTCCCTTCTATTGCCGCCGCGGCCTACACTCTGTCGAACCCTCACGCGATTGTGTAAATTCTCTAGTCCCGTAACCTTTAGACGTTAAGGTGGGAAAGCGCCGCGCGCAAAATTCTACTATAAAGCTGCGCGGCTGCTGGCCAATCCCATACCAACCGACGATGCCAGTCATACGTGGTAATCGCGGCTCCGGCCTCGCGATATTGAATGGCTGAAGGAATATATCGTGAGGGGTCATCCCTCACGATATTGAACGGCTGAAGGTCACGCCGTTCGGCCTTCGCGACATTTCCGCCTTCAGGGTTGGGCGTCTCGACGGGCAGAGCAAAGAGACTCTGCGCGAGGGGAAATCCCTCCCCTGCAGAGTCTAGGGTTTGGGATGTCCTAGACAAGGACCTTGAATCCCGCCCCAGGACCAACGTCCGACCAAGAAACCCCCAAGGAGCAAACAAATAAACAGAAGGGTCTTTCTTATGCCACCCAGTCTTAATCTCTAAGCAGGCTGTTAACACGGGGCCCTTTAGCCCTCGCGAATACCCACCATAGGTACACCTAAGCATACACGTGTAAGAGAGATAGAGTTGCGACAATCACTTCTCACAGGCACAGTGGGACTCCTCACAACCATATGTATATATATGGGATCGCAGGCAATCCAAATCCAAAATCCGAGCCACAGGACATACTTGCAATCACATCAGGAACCGAACAACAAAATACGCACTACACAGAGTCAACCCCAACCAATCTCCGTACTCATACCCGTCGCTTTAGCTATGCAAGCCCCAACCTCCTGTCCAACCAACCATAATTAAATACTCAGTACCTTTGTCAAATGACCATTCAATAAAAGTCCGGGTGAAACCCTCAACAAACACTAAAGTCACCAGGGTTAAAGCCTTTTAGGTTGGGTATGGAGAGTGAGTTGGAATTGAGTCGTAGATCGACGAATCGGCGACCGACGTGTTATCTGTGACAACGGAAGGTGATCCTTAAGGGATCAAGATGACTCTAATCCAGATCCTGAATCGAACGACCAAGAGGACCTGTAACACAAGACAAGCCAATCCCGAAGCTAAACATATAAGTCCTTGGAGGGTAATCACAATCCTGCTCCAAAAACCTACCTAACTAACTGAGTGCAAGTTTACCCTTAAGCAGTGCCCAAAGCAAAGGCAGACCCTGACAGAATTTCCCCTATTCAGGGTGGATCGCCAGAATCATCACCTATCAAAATATAATCTATCTCCTTTAAATCAAGGAAATTTCGGCAGCGCTTCCCATAGGAGAAGTGTCTCTTCAGAATTCATATAATCCCAGATATAACGGTCAAAATAGTCTATAACTCTGGGAAGTCAAATTTCGTCTAACTCCCTGAATTAGTAGAAATTTGGGCCCAGCCCACAACCTTGAGCCCAACTCAGATAAAATCTGACTAACTCCTTAGTTTTGCAGAAATTTCGGCAACACTCCCTCTAGAAAAGTGTTTTCCCAAGATTTAGACAAAGCTAAGTTTAAAACTTGAGACGAACTTTGACTTCCCAAAGTCCAATTTTGTCTAACTCCCTGAATTAGCAAAAATTTGGGCAGCACTCCCTTTAGAAAATGAGACTTTTTAAATTTTTACTAAGTCAGATATAAAGAAAAGACAAGTTGAACTTTGACAAGTTAAAATTTGTCTAACTTCTTGAATATGAAGAAATTTTGGCAGCGTTTCTCGTAGCGAAAACAACTTACCAAAATTTATACAAGTCCAAGTATAGCAGTGAGTCTCAGAAAATGCAAGAATCGATCTAAGTAAAATAAAGTCAGCCCAGAAAATGCAGGAATTGAGCTAACTCCTCTCGCTCTACCACGTGGCGAGCCTCTAAAGCAACTACCTGTCAACCTGAAACCCAGACCAAGTAGTACTCTCACTCAGCCACATGCAGGCCAAACCAAAAAGGTAAGTTCTCTCACCAACCCCACGCTCTTTAGCAAACAATAATTCATGTTCCCTCTGTGAGTTATCCCTTTATACCCAACTTACATAAGGCATAGGTCAGGCCACCTGAACTTACAGAGCGTGCCCAACTTAGCCAGGCCTAAGGTCAGAATACCTAAACTTATAGAGCGTTCTGATTTAGCCAAGTATACACAAACATAGGGCATAACTACTTTCCTCTTCCTTGGCCATATGACTGGACCACCCCCGTTGCCCTGAATTGTTTAAATAGCCAAGTTGTATACATCTCTCTGAACTTAGTCTTCAAAGTGGACATAAGGCTGGACCGCTCAACTTAGAACATTGCTCAGTCTGCCCAGGTTTACCTTCAGTTGTGATAAGCTATTGCCAGGTTACCTAAACTTATAGAGCGGCCTGATTAGCATATTCTTAGTAGCATAGTAATACAATATAACCAAATTATAGTCATTGGGTTCCAACAGGTGCGAGGCATTGAGTCAAACTACCTAAACTTATAGAGCGGTCTGATCCTCTGTCACGTTCGTTCCTCTCTGATCCAGTCTATGCGAGGCAGTAGGGCAGGCCACCTAAACTTATAGAGCGGCCTACCCCCTGCCAGAATTACCCCCCTCAGAACAAAACAGGAGAGGGGTTGAACCACCTAAACTTATAGAGCGGTTCAGACCCCCTCATTCAGAACCAAAAAAACTGAAAGAACTCCCAAATAAACAAGACGACCCAGGGTACCTAAACTTATAGAGCGCCCTGGGTTCTTGAAAACCATCCACAGTCAAGCCCTCACAAGTCAGAGCAGTCAGGTCACCTAAACTTATAGAGTGTCCTGACCCTCCATGCGATTCACAACACTGGGTCTCCCGAAACTTATGGGGATCTCCCAGCCTCCAGAGCTTCAGGCTACCTAAACTTATAGAGCGGCCTGATGCTCCATGCAAGACTAAAATAAAACAAGGCACTGGGTTTCCCCAAACTTATGGGGACCTCCCAGCCTTAGCGACCCAATCAAAACTGTACGCAATACTGCCTTCCTCCCAATCCTTCCTCTAGATGCAACCCCTCTTGTTCGCAATCTGCTTTCAGGCAATCAACAAAGTCTGAAGCTGAAGTTGGCACACACATTCCTTTACTTTAGTCTGACTTATATCCTGACAGTCAAACCAAAATCAGAGGACAGGAGTCACACAATACACTCAATCAAATCATAAAGGGATGTACAAATAGGGGTTATAACTAGGTTTATAGAAGGAGTCGCGGAATTACCACCTAATTCCAAAAAAAATCCACCGCTAAATCTGCATTTGCGCGGGCACTTCAAAAAGACGGCGGCAGTTTCAACCCCCCGCTAAACTTGCACATAATGATTTAGAAACTCAAACAATGCCTTCGGCGGCACTTCCAGGACTCTTCCTGAGTCCCGACAGAGCTCCCGCAATCGGTGGGGCGAACCTCCCAAAGAGGCTTTGGCACGGACCACGGGTCACAGCCCCGTCTGTCCCCTTCCTCTTAGAACCAAAAGACCAGACTTAGAGTAAGGGGGACAGGAAGAGCAGGTGTGAGACTCCCAGGCTCAGGGAAGATACAATCAGACTCGCTTGAGAGGTTCTTCAGTCCTTCAGCGCCAGAAGACCCCAGAATGGTGGCCAAGATGCGCAGCAGCTAGATCAATCCAAAAGTCAACTGTCGACCGTTGGCCCCTTCCCTCCTGACAACCTTCCAATTCACAACTTATCCCTTCAGCAACTCAACTGCCTCTCCAAGTTTGCCTCCCCAAGCTGCCCCATTCCCTCAGCAACTCCCTTTAGGGGGTAGGTGATGCCCTGACCAACAACGAAAGAAGCATCTCCTTTGACCGCCTCAGTGGCAGGCACAGACAAAAGCGGGGTCCAATCATATATGCCAGCGCCAGGGGCTGGGCACACATCCACCCATAACCCCTCTCTTCGCTCTCCCTGCCTTAGTCGCACCTACCACTATTCCTGTTGCGTATCCCTCGGGTCAGCAGCATCAGGTCTAACCCTTAATGGAATCTGGCACAGCGGTTCCACGCTGCACTTCGCGGCAAGCCCGTACCGCACCACACAACTCCTCACCTCCACCTTGCTTCTTAGCTCTGCATGTACCGCAAACACTTCGAAGGTAAGTACCTACCGCTTTCCCCACCCGTCTTTACCTCCCCTCACTCACCGCCCTTCCGCCGGCCTTCACTCCCTCGGCTCATGGCCCATTGGCTGTGTAATCGCACTTGGCCGTAAATACGACCATGTTCCATCCACCGAGAGGGCTATCTAGCCAGACCGGTGACCAAGCTCTAGGACGAAGAGGGGCAATAACGACCCCAACACGCGCCAAGCCGACGAGGACAGGGCCTGTGATCCAATTTACTGCAATAACAAAACGAAAATGGATCTCCCGCTAGAATGAGGAAAGATACATAAACCCCCCAAATGCTCTTGTCGCGTGCAGCTTGTCGTGGCTCAACTCTCGCTCCGGCTCGCAGCGATACCGCTCTAAGGTACGTACCCGCTCTCTCTCTCTCTCCCTCACACCTTGGTCGCTGTCTTCCCTCTACCCCACTGCCCACTCATTGCCTACCCGATCCGACTTCACAGCTGAGGTCGCCTGCCCCTAAGGCCTCTATCTCGACTCCTCCCCCGTCGGATTCCTTCTTCCCTCGCATGCACCCAACCCATCCTCTCGTCCCAGTTCCTCCTCCTTCGACCATGGCTCGGCGCACCCTCTATCTCATCCCTCTCTTAATCTACTAACTTAACCTTAGAACCGACTTCAGTTTTGGGGTCACCCACCTCGAAAACCCCCGAGGCTGACCTCATTCCGCCAAAAACAACCAAGGATTAACTGAGCTTCGACAGACTGCCCTTCTCGTCTCCCCCGTTCGTCGTTCCGCCATGCCCCGACGCACCTCTCTTCGTTACTAACCTCCCATCTAGCTTCCCTATTGCCAAGACTAACACCRTAACTTGGTTTGCCCGGCCAGGCCCTRTCGAAATGGCCTCCTCCCTCTCCCAATCCCGTTAGGATTCGAGCCGGAATCGCTATTCGCCCCTGCATATCCACTTTCACTCCGCCATAGCCCCCGATGCACCACCCTTCTCTAATAACTCCCACTCTACCAACTTTTCACTAATTCTGACACGAGAAGSGGAGTCKCTCAATACAAAACCTTAAACTCYYTTCTWTCSCCACCAGTTTCCACTTCGGTTCGAGAGCTCRYCGCGTTCTTGACTGCRCCCGACCCTCCCCGAATGCACCTCGACGCGGGCCTTAGCCAGGTCGATCCCCCTTTGTTCTCCGCTCATCCCTGTTGACGTCAACTGCACTCCGCCCAGCGCTTCCCTGCGGCCCCTCGACAGATTGCCTGGCAGCGCCCGGTCCAGGGACTCTCGTCTCCGAAAGAACGACCACGGTCGAGAACCGAAAGTAACAAAAAAAAAAAAAACAGGCTCCTTCCAAATTTATATGCCCTGCCTGGTCGTAGGAGCCACGCCAATCCTCTTTGCATCGTTCCAATTTTTAACAGCTGTCCCGAAGAACTTTGCGCCGACTGGCCCCTCTTCATTACCAACACGGGCAGCCGCCGGAAGGATCCAACCACGGGACGATCCGATCGGGCCCCCGCCTCCCCGATCATCTGCATGTACCCGGCGCAACCTGAATCCGGGTTCTTTTCAAATCCTTATGCTCCATCCTTGCGCAGGGGCCGTGCAGATTTTCCCCAAGCGATTCCTCCCTCAGTAACTCCTCCTCCTGTTCAGCTATCCCTGCATGAACCCGACCTCCTTTCGGGGCCCGGTTCAGGCACCTACCAACCTCAGCTCCTACGACTATTAGGGCCCGCCCCCTTTTCTACGCAGCACGCAATCGCTGGGCGGATCCGGCCACAAGACAGTTCGGCGCACCCGGCGCAGCCTGCGTCCGGGTCCATTCTCAGATCTTTTGCGCATCGCCCCTCGCGCCGCGGTCGTGCAGATCTCCTATGTATCGCTCCAATATTTAACGGATGTCCCGAACGACTTCGGCCGGGGCAACGCCCCGCGATTCTTCCGCCACTCGGCCTCCCCCTTGCTTTCGCGCGTGCACCTGGCCCGGCTCGCGTCTGGGTTTTTCCCTGGACCTTTCGTGCCTCCCCTCATGCAGGGCCATGCTAATCTCCTCTGTATCTTTCGAACTTTAACAAATGTCCCGAAGGGCACAACCTTGGTCGTGGAGGCAACCGGCCCCAGGCAATTCGGAATACTTGGCTTTACCCACCAAGTTCCGTCATCTGGATCCAAGCGCCGGTTTACATTTCAATAGTTCACGGGTGTACCCACCGCGGTTTCACGCCCACATGCGGGCGTGAAAAAATAATAGTAACAAAAATTCGAAATAAATAAATTATACATAAATAGATATATGGAACCCGCAAAGCGTGCGGTAATCGGGCGGAAACCGCGGCCCCCACAGTTGTAAAAGGCGAGGGGGATAGTCCTACAGGCCCATCAACCCCTCAAGCCTTTCCGCCACGCTCCTCCGCTCCCCTACTGCATGCTGTTGGCCTCGATCCCTACGTCCACTGTATACCAGTCCGACACCGTAACCTATAGGGCTAAGCCCAACCCTGAGACTTGTGCACGCGGGTTCTCACATAAAGCAGTGCGGCCCCCCCTTCCCATTATGGGCTGGGAAAACAGCCCGAGCCCCTTGTCCGCCTACAAACACGCGCATGGCCACCGAGTTCCCATGCTGTCTCACACGGGTTGTGTCGCGGCCACCACTTACGCCATTTCACATGCCGAATCTATCGCTGGCCGATCGCGGTGAATGGGAACCGAAACTTCCTAATCCTTAGTCTAATCGACATACAGCCATCGACCGGGTAATTATGCTCGGCGTTTTGATTAATCGGAGGGGCAAAAATCACATGCGCGCCTTAAAACTGCGCGCCCACTCACCCCTCCTACTTGGACGGCCTTTAGAATGCGCGAGGGTGACCACCGCGTTTTTCCGCGCCGGCACTTCAAAGACCCAACTTGACCAAACCTTCCTGTCGCTTGCAAAAACCAGGGCGGATACCCTTGTAAGGGTATTCGCGCCGACAACGCGGCTGCAAATTTCGCGTCGTATGCTTCCGCAAGCCGACGATCGGTGATGGCTGTAGTCGCTTGTTCGCGATTCCGATACTTTATCTTCAGATCTTTGCAGATCACTTTGAGGTCGTCTATATTCGCGTCCATCGTATGTCGACGAAGATCTTCCACGTACCTCTCCTCCCCTCCCGGGCCGCAACTTGCAACCACTCCCTTCATCTTCGGGTCGAATCTCTTATTTTCGAGCTTCTTAGGCGATTGCTTCTTGAGCGGCGAGTTCCGAGCTGGAGGTTGCTTCGGTGGTGACTTCTTTGGTGATGATCGCATCCGGAACTTGTAGCGCCCACTCGTTGTCGTCACCTTCTTCCCGGAAGAACCAGAGGTCACCGGAATCTTCCCCTTAGTCCTTCGTTCTTTAGAGGGGGTTGTTAATGGCGGGCTATTGCTGATTGCCATATCCTCACCCCGCTTCCGTTTCTCACACAATTCCGCCTTGGCTGCTTTTTTTTGGAAATCATTCAATTCCTCATCCTCGAATTTTGACGAGCTACTGCCACCACCCGCACATTCTATCATCTTTCGTAAACGTCGTTTCTCCGATGATCTCGTCTCCTTCTTGCTACTTCGCCGTCCAACCTTCAAACGGAATCTCCGTTCTGCTTTGTCCTCCGGCGACCGGTTCTCTCGCCAGAGCTGCATCTTCAGCCATCTCATCAAACGTTCATCTCTTTCAGCTTCTTCCCGCTTCCGTATCTCTTCTTTTAACTTCTTGCGCTCCATCTTGCTTTGCAACTCAGCCTCTCTCTTCTTACTTTCCGCCTTGAGTCGTTCCTGCTCCTCACGTTCTTCATTCCTCTTCACTTTGTCTAATATATACTTCCTGATCAATGCGCTTTCTGATGGATCACTCATTGTGCCGATCTCTCCCCTCGGGACGGTAGTCTGCACTTGCTTTGTGACGTTTGTTTTTGGTTCCCATGGTGTAGGTACGAAGGCCGCACCTATCGCACATCCAATACTTGGCACAGTCACGTGAAAAGTGCCCCGCAGTGTTGCACTTATAACACAGTTTCGACGTCCCAGCTTCGCTACTACTTCCGTCTCCTCTTGGAGGATCTTTCCTGCTCGACGCCATCCTTACTACCGACGCACGTGCGGAAGGCACGTGTGGAGATGGTGAGAGAGAGAGAGAGAGAGAGAGAGAGGAGATGGACACACACGAGAAGCAGCCGCCGAGTGAAGGTCCAGTCCGGCCCAATGAATGAACGAACCACTGAATGAATGAACCTCCCCCCTTGGGCCTAGGCCGAAGTGATATACCGGTCTAGGTCCAGGTACAGGAAAACCTGGTATCGGACCAGGGTCAGGCCGACGGCCTGAAACTGGTCCGGCCTCACTGCCGGGCCGTAGGGGTACCGCTACACGATCCTCGGACCTGTGAATGGATCAAGCGATACATCAAACACGCTATCCGCTGAAATAGCGGAAACCCAAAAGGAACGGCAAAAGGACCAATCCTAAATGCGGAGCAGGCTCCATGCATGAAAAAGGATGCAATGCAATCTAAGCCTCAAGCCTAATCTATACCATAATGTCTGGTCTGCGTCGACCCAAAAAGTAGAAAAATGTCTGACCTGTGTCGGCCAAGAAAGAGAACTGTGTCGGCCAAGAAAAAGAAAAATGTCTGACCTGTGTCGGCGAAGAAAGAGAAAAATGTCTCCTTAGCCAAAGGGGTTGAATATACATCAACACCAGGGCCCTAAAGGCCAAAGAATAACTAAACCAATGTCCTAAGTCGAAAACCAATGTGGCACAGTCTCACGTGCCCTGTACACAATGCACAATACCTGAAGAAAAGAGGAAGGGACTCAGTCGCATGRCAGAAATARGAATGGGTGGGAAGGCGGCAGGTACAGCTCTCAGAGTAAACTCCAAGGGGGCACCCACACAACCAGGTAAGGGGTCATCAGGCTCAGAGGGGGAGTAACAGCACGACACCGGGCTCAATGGAAACCATCAAACGGGTACCGCCAGCTGAAAGGGTGGAAGGGCACTCACACAAGGGAGCACACATAAGGTGAGCCTGGAAGGAGAGAGGGTTATGCCGGCATAGACATGTAGCCAGAAGCGGCGAGCAAGGAAAACGTACATTCAGAGGAGGGCGCGCAGCATAAGGTAAGACAGAAGGACGGCAAGTGGACACACCCACATAGACAGGGAAAATAGGGGTCATTATGCGACTGAAGGGTAAGCTCGAGGGTGGTAGATAGGTAGGAATGATGGAAACTCTGTAGCCGAAAAAGTGAAGTAGTCCACTGATGAGTCGCGAGGCTGAAGTCGAACCGAAGTAGCCTGGATGAAGTAGGAGTACTGCAAAAACCGAATAGAAGTCCCGAGCAATGCGACATGTACTCTGGTACTGAGGAGCAGCAATGAGGTCGAAAGTCGAATGTAGAAGCCGAATGTAGGAGCCGAATGTAGAAGCCGAAACCGGGAGCTGCTGCATAAGTGTCCAGGAATGGTAAAAGATAGAGAGCGTACGGGGGATATAGGTCAGTCACGAAAACGAGAAGGAAGTCGATGGGTACGTTGAGGGCGAGAGGAATGAACTGCAACAACAGGCGGAACCACATCCACAGGGGGAGGAGGACCTGAGGCGGGTACCGGTGGAGTAGGAGGACCCATCGATGGAGGAGGGGGAATGTTAGTGGTCGCAGAGGTAGAAGGGTCAGTAGTAAAAGGATGAGAAGTAAGGGGGGAGGATGATGAAGGGAACGAATGAGCACGATCGTAAGCACGCACGAAAGTCATAGCATGCTTCAGGTGCTCAAGAGGCTCCCAAGTAGACTCCTCGTCAGGATAACCCTTCCATCGAACGAGATACTCGAGGCGGGGAGGGTCACCATCAGTCATACGCCGGGACGCAATATCAGAGACGACAAACTCCTCATGACCCTCAATGATGATGGGAGATGGGCGAGGGTAAGGTTGACCATGGAACTCTGGGGGAGACCGTCTGAAGGGGCGCAAAAGAGATACATGAAAAACATCATGTAAGTTAGCGCGGTACATGGAATCGGGGAGCTTCAATTTGAAGCTCACCGGACAGTAATGGTTGGGTCCGGCGGGTGCAAGAATGGTGCATGGTCCAATATATCGACGTCTGAATTTCCGAAGTGTGTCAGCTTCGGGCTGAAAGTGACGTGCATCGACAAGAACCTCGTCGCCAACTTTAAAGGGATGGTCGATGCGAGAGCGATTAGCGCGAGTGGCCATGCGAGTCTGGGAGTGAGCAATGCTCTCGCGAGCCTTGCTAAGGAGGGCATCCATCTCCTTTACCCAGTCATCGAGGGCAGGGCATTTGGTGTCGGGATGGATCTGAGATGGACGAAGAAGGTCAGATGGGACACGGGGATGGTATCCCAAGTCACAGTAGTAGGGAGACATGTTAGTGGCAGGGGAAATAACATGGTTAAAAGCAATCTCTGCGTGAGCAAGATGCAGATCCCAATCAGAGTCATTCTCAACAAACTTCTTGAGGATACTCCCAAGAGTTTTGTTGGTGACCTCGGTCTATCCATCTGACTGGGGGTGATAGGAGAAGGAGAGGCGGAGCTCGGAGCCATAGATCTCATGGAGTCCACGCCAGAAATGAGATGTAAAGCGGGGATCGCGGTCAGAGACGATGCTAGTGGGAAGACCGTGATGGATGGCAATACGGTTGAAGTATAGGRAGGCGATGTCTTTGGCTGAACTAGCATACTTGCAAGGGAGGAAGTGAGCATGCTTAGTCAACCGACAGACAACGACGAAGATGGCGTCGTGGCCTCGTGGGGTAGGGGGACGAAGAGGGCCAATGAAGTCCATGGAAACAGAAGTCCAACGCTGAGTAGGAATGGGTAAGGGTTGGAGAAGGCCATAGGAGGGGTGGTTGGGAATGTTGGTCTCCTGGCAGATCCTGCAGGTGCGAACGTACTCCTTGATGAAAGGACGGCGGTGCTCCCAGTAGTAATGGCAGTAGAGGCGGTCAAGTGTCTTGAAGACACCAAGATGACCGGCGGCGCGCTGGTCATGACACTCAGCGACGGCCCGGACGCGGAGCTGGCCAGTAGAGGGCACGCATAAGCGGGGAGTACGAGTACCTTGGCGACCAAGCCAATATAGGAGTCCAGAGGGATCGAGCTGGAAGTTASGRACGGACTTGCCAGCCTGTAGGTCAGCATAGATGGACTGAAACTCAGGGCACTGGGTGTATGCGTTCCGGTTCTCATCCAGAAAGGCGGGGTGGATGGTAGGGGCTGAGATGGCAGATAGCTGACGATCCTCGCAGTGAAGATCGGGGCGGCGAGATAAGGTATCTGCAACACGATTGTTTTCGCCGGAAATCTTCTTTATGGTGAAGTCGAACTCCGAGAGGTCACGCCACCAACGAGCCTGACGAGAAGTGAGCTTAGGCTTCGTGTGGAAGGCGGCGAGGACAGAGTTGTCCGTCAAAATGGTGAAAATATGACCGTGCAAATGATGACGCCACTTCTTAACAACGTAGACCAGCGCAAGGACCTCACGCTCATCGGCAGTGTAGTTACGCTCAGCGGGAAGTAGCTGTCGAGATAGATAAGCAACCGGACACTCTCCATCGCGAGACTCGACAGTACCGTCATCAGGGACGTCAGGAATATAAGGGGGTGGGGCCCCTGGGGGGGTGGGCTCGATGGGTGCAAGATGAGCCGCAGTCGCTGGAGGTGGAGGAGGGAAGCGAGGAATGCGAGGGAGGCGAGGGAGGCGAGACTCTATGGAATCGGGAGAAGTAGAGGGGGCAAGATAGATCTGCGAGAGAACAGCTCCAATAGCGAAGTCAGATGCGTCGGTGGTGACGATGAATGGACGCGAGTAGTCAGGTAAGTGTAAGACAGGAGCTGACGTGACAAGCCGCTTGAGAGAGCGGAAAGCATCCTCGTGAGCCGGGGTCCAATAAAAAGGTAGACGTCCGCGGGTCAAGGGGGTAAGCTGGGAAGAATATTGCGCGTAGTTTTTAAGAAAATGACCATAGTAGTTGGTCAACCCAAGGAAACTACGCAGCGCAAGAAGAGAGGTAGGAGTGGGCCAGTCGACAATGGCGTGAATCTTCGAGTCGTCCATGTGGAGTCCGTGCTCGGAGACCTGATGCCCAAGGAAGTCGACTTTGGGTTGAGCGAAGTGACATTTGGAGAGCTTCGCATAAAACCCATGGTCGCGTAATCGCTGGAGGACAGTGCGGAGGTGGGTCAGATGCTCCTCTAAGGTAGGACTGTAGACCAGGATGTCGTCGATGTTGACTAGAACCGAGTCCTCAAAAAGGTCTTGGAACATCGTGTTCATAGCCGTCTGGAAGATGGCAGGGGAATTACGGAGACCGAAAGGCATGACGGTAAACTCGTAGTGCCCAAAACGAGAACAGAAAGCGGTCTTAGGCTGGTTCTCCTCGGCTACGCGGATCTGGTGATATCCGCTACGAAGATCAATCTTCGTGAAGAAGTGGTGGCCTGAGAGGCGGTCGAACAGATCATCCGCACGAGGCATAGGGTAACTGTTTCTGACCGTATACTCGTTGAGACCGTGGTAATCGAGGCAGAGGCGGAGAGTGCCATCCTTCTTGTGATCGAATAGGACAGGTGCACTCCATGGGGTCGTACTCGGTTTAATGAAGCCCTGACGAAGTAGCTCGTCAATTTGGCGTTTAAGTTCCTGGGCTTCGGGGACCGAGAGGCGATATGGGGCGCGATGCTGGACACGGTAGTTAGGTTCGAGCCGGATGTGGTGCTCGATATCGCGCATAGGAGGAATGCTGCTATAAGAGACGGTCGGAGGAAAAACATCGCGATACTCGCGAAGGAGGGCCGCAACRYTAGGYTGCAAAGTCRATAKGAGGTTGTCAAACTCCTCGGCTGCAGCGGCGTCTGAAGCAGGGGTGGAAGGAGTCGGTATGGGAATAGGTACCGATGGCGCCTCCGTGGTACAAGATGCAAGAAGGTGAGATGAGCTGGCAGGGGTGAAGGGGGATGGAGAGGCTGAAGGGTCAGGAGGCTCGGGGGGCTCAGGGAGTGGTGGGTCGAGCTCGACCAACTCAGCGTCCTGATGCATAGAGTTACAGACAAGGAGATCCGTGATGTCAACGATGGAAAGTTCAGCATCAGGCTGACGAAGGATGTGGTGAAACTAAGTGGGTGTCAAGATGGCAACACTGACAGGAGAGGGGGATGTAGAATCCGATTTGCCCAACAACGGAATACGGTATTGCTTCTCATCCTTGGTGTCAAGAACGAGGTCGTTGTGGGTCCAATCGGGGCCAGCATGGGCGAACTGATGGGAGTAGGCAGTGCCAAGAACAAGATCATATAGGGTTTCCATGACATCGAAGGTCCACTGGTCATGGAACCGAGGGGCCTTGCGAAGGCTATGGGGCATCCGCAAGGGGAAGGAGAATGGAAGATCAGGCACCACCGATTCGACGAATGATTTGGCCTGATTGTCGCCAAGCGTGACAGTGACAGTGGAAGGGTAGGTGGATGTATAGAGGCATGCCTCCTTAACTACGCGAGGATGAATGAAGTCGCCAGTAGAGCCAGAGTCCCATAGTGCGTGATACACTCTCGTAGAGGTCCCGAGGCGCACTGGAATAATCGGTAAGATGCGGTCGGGGTTGTGTAGGCGCTGAGACATTGCGGACAGGGTGCGCTCTTTAAGGCGGAGACGTTCCAGGTGGACCTTAACACACTCAAGGTCCAGGAAGTCAATGATATCCTCGGTTGCAATGAGGGAAGCACTGCAGCGCACCGTGCGAAGAGCACGCCTAGTAGGAGGACGAGGAGGAGGAGGATCATGAGGGACGCTAGGCGAAGAAGTGGAGGCACTGGAGAGTGGGTCAATGACGCTAGGAGTGACCAACGATGAAGTCAGGTCCGAGTCCTCAGAAAGAGTAGCAAGCAGCGCGAAGGTAGAGTCGCGGGCGGGTATGCCTGCTACTGTGGGAGGGTCAGCGGGGCGGGAGATCGCCGCTAGGTGGCTGCGGAGCTGGAGGTCGAGAGGGGGGGAACAGCCTGAGGGCAAGCCTGCTGTGCAAAGTGACTCTGGAGGGCGTCTGCGTACGGGCAGGTAGAGGAGGTATGCCCGGCGAGGCGACAGCGGGTGCAGATGCCTTGTGTGCGAAGGTCCTCATTCTCAGCAATGGTCAGGCGGCTGCGAGGGAAGACAAAGCCCGCTGGGAGGGGTAGTTGAGTGGCCGTAGAGCAAGTCCTGGAGGATGAAGGCTGACGTCGGAAGAGGGCGGAAAGGGCCCGGACAAGACGGTCGTCATGGGAAGAGGCGTCATCCTCCGTGGGGGACTGAGGGTCGGGTCCCTGATCTGGGTCACTCGCAGAATCATCTGAGGGAGTGCCATCATCAATGTTCGATGGGTCACGAAGCAGCGCATGCAAGCGACGAGAGAGGGATCGTCCAGAGCCTCTACGGGGGCCACGACAGAATGTAAAGGACTGTCGAGGATGAGAGGGGCGAGAGGCTGCAGTAGTGGCAGAGTGGGCAACGGTGGGCTGAGACGCGGGACCAACTAGTGGTGCATAAGTGAGATGGATGGCCCGAGCAATGTTGAAAGCCTCAGGCAAGGTGGGGATCGAATAGGCCAGCATCTGCAGCTGGAATGGCTGGGGTAGGCCTGCCCGGAATCGCTGGATTATGGCTTCCTCAGATATGGTTGTGATGGGAATCTGAGCGCGTACACGATGGAATGTCGTGATGTATGACTCTAGGGCATTGTCGCCACCAAGCCATCTGATCTCAGCCACACGAATAATCGGGTCGCGGGTGGGCGTAGGGCGAGAAAAGTACTGCTGAAGGAAGTCGCGAAACTCGGGGCAAGACATGCCCTCATGTACGTCGCGCTGTGAGCGGAGGGCGAGGAAGTCGCGCCAGGTGGAGGCTGCACGGCCTGTAAAGCGAGAGGACATCTCGACGGGCCACAGTTCCATGGCAACACCATGGTAGCGAAGCTGCTTCTCAGCAGTAGTGATCCATCCTTGGAGCTCGGAGGACCTGCCGTCAAACTGTGGAAGGTGATCCCGTCGAAACTGTGGAACATAGGTTGGTGGCTGATAGTGGGTAGGGAGAGGGAGA